TAATTTTTGATTTATTGTGGAGATGAGCTCTCGCCAAGTTGCCCGGGCGGGTCTCGAACCTGCGAGCTCAGGCAATCCACTCACCTCAGCCTCCCAAAGGTGTGGGATTACAGGCTAAGCCACCGAGCCCGGCTTCCTGTTCTTTTCTATTCCCTGATAAGCCCCTGGGAGAGAGGAGTTGTGGTCAACAGCCAGGTGTGACCCTGCCACCCAGTAGAAAGACATGCAGAATGGACAACTGAGGCACCTGGGGAAGGTGGGGGAGGAACTCTGCAGCGGGCTGGTGTCCCCCACCGGCAGAGGCTGAGAGAGGCACAAAGAAAGGGGGTTCCTGTCTTCCCAGCAGGGGAGAAAGAATGACTTCTACAGAAGTTCCACCCCTTCCCAAGAGCCCTCAAACCCTCCCTCTGCCTTCCCCCTCCCCCCTGCCCACAGCCACCTACCTTGAGCTTGGAGCGCCGGCCACAGGAAGACATTGCTGTGAGCTTCCTCGGCCGGCCTCTTGGCCTCTTGCCTCTCTTCCGGTTCTGTACCTCCTTCTCGTGTTCCCTGAAGACACATCATCAGTCACAGTGGGAAAAGCCTACGCATCCCAGTTCTACCACAAGGGACCCTGTGCCTTCCAACACCCCCATGCAGCTCTGGCCCGCAGGAGCTGATCTTCAGTTTGCTGCAAACACACGTCATCAAATACTCAAGGCAGCAGTCCAGACCCCATTCTCTGCACTTGGGCCAGTATTATTTATACAACCAGCCCATTTCATTCTAGGGAAAGACAAGGTGAAGACATGAAAGCAAAGTGGGAAATGAACAGATCTGCGCTTCTGGAGGTAGGATATTTCGTGGAAATTCTAGTGCAGCAGAACCAGAAACAGTCTTTGTGGTCAAGTGGTCCAACCACCTCCCTGTAAATAGGAAAGGGAAGCCCAGGGTAAGGAGATGCCAGCCATACCTCCAGCATCTGCTTGTGCCCACAAAACGCTCGCCTGGGAATGGAGCACCAGGGAACCCAGTCTGGGATCTGCTGTCCAGCCTTCTCGGAGCCCAGCTACTGGTGCATGGTGCCTCCCCTCCCCATTTTACTAATTTCTTTATTTGAGTATCTCTCTGTTCCTAAACTCTGCTCTTGACGAAGTAACGGAGGTGCCCAAATCTGACGTGGCTAGGGTTGAAGGCCTGTACCAACTGCAGTTCCCCCTCAGACAGCCCTGTACCTTGGGAGCCATGAAGTGCTGCAGAGCACTTCCAGTCTCCAGAGAAAGCTTGTATTTCAGGCTATTCCCGTGGAAAGAGGCGCTAGTAATTAAAAGGGGCAAACATCATCTCAAAGGAGCCTAGAAAGTGATTGCTTAAAGATAAATCTGGTTAGTGCAACCAGGCAAAGCTCATACAAAGCCACGCTGGTCCTTGACCTGCAGTCTTCTGAAAGGACAATGAGGTATTACACTGGTCTCCTCCACTGGAACATGAACCCATCTGCTGCGTCCTGTGAGCCCACGACATTCCCTTACATGCAATGGCCATGTCCCCACCCCCAATACCAGACAGACAACTGCCAGCTCCAGAATTCTTTTTTGGTGGACAGGAGAAAGCAGGACATCCACCTTCCTGGTTCTTTCTTCCACAACATAATCCATACCATGCGTGACTTTTATACTCTTGTATGTCTCGAGTATTTCTGCTCTTGTCTGCACTACTCTAACCGAAAGCAGGTAAGGGACATATCCTCTCTTAACAGGATACTGTCTTACATGTAGAGAAATGTACCAGCTCCTGAAATGGGTCAAGCCAAACCCCATCCCAAGGCTTTTGGGACCCAGTTAGGAATCAACAGAAAACAAGGGGTTGCTGGCAAGAATTTCCACAAGTTTTTTTTTTTTTTTTTGAGTTGGAGTCTCACTCTGTCGCCCAGGCTGGAGTGTAGTGGCACGCTCATGGCCACTGCAGCCTCGACCTGCTGGGGTCAGGCGATCCTCCGGCTTCAGTCTTCCAAGTAACTGGAACTACAAGTGCACGCTACTACGCCTGGCTAATTTTTTGATTTCTTGTAGAGACGAGGGTTCGCAAGGTAGCCCAGGCTGGTTGCAAACCCATGAGCCCAGACAATCCTCTTGCCTCAGCCTCCCAAAGTGCTGGGATTACAGGCTTGAGTCACCACGCCCAGCCAAGAATTTCCACAGGTGTTTAAGTGAGCACCTGCTCATCTCATTCCCTCTCATCCTGCCCAAAAGTATCTTGACTTCGTTGCATTGTCATCTGCCCTCTGGGAAGACCCAAAATGCCCTGCTACCATGAAAAAATGAACACAGCTTCTGAAACTCAGCTAACAGAGAATAAGCCAGGAAAGATCTAAGCAACCAACTCACCTGCCTGCATTCAAAGGACCAGCTCCAGTCCCAGGAAGGTGCTTGAGCCACTAGCCTAGTATTGTTTTCATACAGCACATTGTACACCTTCACTCTGGGATGGGGCTGGCATAACCACGGCCCTCTCACTACCCCTCTCCCTTGAACATCTCCAAGAGGCCTATCTCTTAAACCAAGTCTCCCACCTAAAAATAGACACGACATCTAGAATTACAGAAGCAAATCTGGCCCAAGACTGGCAACAGGGCCCCACGGGTCTTACTCAGTACTGTATTTTGCAGCCTGGAGCAAGACAAGTGTGTAGTTCTTGATAGAGACACCACAACAGGCATGACTTTGTGCTGTGTGTTCCAGATCCTTCTCTGTGCCTTCTATTGCTCAATGGCACACTCGCACAGGGCTGCAGGACTCCCCTGCACTGTTACAGCAAACCTGCTATCCTTGTTTGTACTAGTGTTGTCTGAGAATGACTCAACAGAAAAGGCCAAGAGAAGCCAGAATCTTTATACGAAGCAATAGAGAAGGTTTGATTTTGCAAGTCTGACTGTCAGAAAGACTAAAGCAGCGCTTACTCAAGGATTCCTTGGCTAGGGAGACAGCGCTGGCTGGGAGAAGATGGGAGAGGGACTGACTGGGGACCTCCAGATGCTCCACCTTTACAGACAGCCATGGGGTTGGCCCCGGGGACCGTATGCTATGAGACCTCAGTCTACATCCCCTGCCAGCAGTGCTATGCAACCAGCCTCCCAACACTCTTCCCCTCCCCATGGGTGCTGTTAACTCTCTCACTTCTTCTGGAAGGCCAGGAGCAGCCTCGGGTCCAGGATGTTCTCCTCTGGCTCCCAGCTGTTATGTCTGGAAAAGCAAGAGCACAGAGCATCAGACACCAGGCAGGGACCCACCGGGTCACTGTAGAGAGCAGTCTGAGCAGGGCCAACCCAATCATTCCCCTAGCTCGGCTGATGGCAGGGGCACCAGGGCACTGTGGCAATCCTCAAAAGTCCAAACCCAGGACCTGAGGCCACCGAAGCCAGCACTCAAACCTCAAACCCAAAGGGAAACTGCCACCTCAACCCCCCAATTAAAACGCGGCCACAAGAGGACTCCCACAGTCTCCGCCTGGGAGAAAAACAAATCCCAATAAAACACAAAGTTGCAGAGAGGGAATCCCCCAAACTCTGGCCCGGAGCCAGAGAGGGAAGGGAAGGCAGGTCCAGGATGCAGGGAGGGGCACAGACGCATAGCCCAGGATCCAGAACAATGTGGTTGGCGCCCAGGCGAGCGCGGGCCAGGGCACCGGGAGGGGAAGGCAAAGAAAAAAGAGTGGGTCCTGAAGGAGGGAAAACCGGGTTGTGGGGGCAGCCGTGAACAGAGCCCCTTCCGGGGATGCCAAATCCTCTCCTTTCCATTAAGAGAAAGAAAACAAAAAAGAAACCCTACATTTATCAATAGAAAGCTCAGGTTACAGCAGGGAAAATATGGACAAGAGGAGGGGGGGCTCACGTCCCGCGCCTCCTACCAGGCCCGGCCGGGGACGGATGAGTCGGGGCGGGGGGCGCATGCAACAAATGG